AAGACCTGGCACGAGGGTATGAAAATCCCAACCAGGAGCCTGGGTCACATAGGTCCCGTTAGGCTCCCTGGATGACCCGATGGTTTGAGACACTTGGTGATATGGCTGGGTGTCGTAAACAGCGGTGTTTGTGCATCTTGTCGATTTCTTTGTTTCTGTTTTCTCTGCGATCCTACTTTCAACCTTCCCTGTCTTTCTCGTCATGTTTATCCAAGTCAGAGGATTCTGGACAAGCGACCAGTGCTGATTGATTTTATCAGGTTGGGCTGGTTCTAACTTTTCAGATAGCGAGTGGTGGCGGCGGTGGACAAGTGATTTGGTCACCAACTTGTTATTTAGGATTCCCGGGTTCGAACCGCCCCACCGCCGCCTGCCTTCATTATTATTAGAAAGACTTAACCGTCTTTCTAATAAGCATGCTGGTTAAGATAACTTATCGCAGTCTAACCGTCTCTGAGTCGCCCACTGAAGCACATGGACAGCTTAGCGCATACTAATGCGTGATGGGATTCGATGTGAGTGCTCCAGTACGATCGGCAATTTCTCTGAACGACTGGAATCTAGCCCGAAAGGACCTCCCAGATGCACCTTACTCGAAATCAACCGACCTACTCTAACATTCATATATCATGCTACAATCACCATATCAGCCCGACTCGCCTCACGCAAGAGGTCGTGTAGATTATTGCAAAATTCATCTTTGACTTCAGGTGGGTTGCAGTCCGCTTGAGCGTACGCCGACACGACAAACAAGTGTCGTCTATCGACTTCCACAGGTGATAAGGCTTACAAATTTCTCACCACGGTAGTCAAGTGTGCAAACTCCCGTCGATCTTGATCAGTCAGTGACTGGAGCAGATTGAGTCTCGGCGATGGTAAAAAGAATATTAGTTTGTTTGTCAGAGTTTCCTTAATGTTGCTTGCCTCCAATTTTTCGGCACAGGAATGGTGAAAAAGTATGCGAGAGAAGTCAGAGACTTTCAATTAGTGGCAAATCCCGAATTCATCGATGACATCAGCTCTGCCGTATATCAATCGTTTCTCATTTTCATTTGAAATCACCTGCCACTAACAAAAGAGTATTGCTTCAAGCAACGACGATGTAGGTGGCTCGTAAACAGGACAATAGTGATTTTGGCAAGAGTATTGGCTTGTTGTACATATATCACTTTCTTGGATACAACACACCGATGTCTAAGGTCTCGAGCCTATGAGCTAAACACTGCTGTTATCCTATACGCATTAGAGTGCACCCATTAAATGTGGCTAGTTTGAATGGGCATCGCGGACAAAGGAGAGCTTCGGCTGATGGAGGATTCGGTGAGACTTGGACAGAAGTCGAGGTAGGACACGAGATGATAGCGGCGGTTTCCATTTGAGGCGCTACTGTTAGTACGGTCGACTGAAGAACCCAAGAGAGGGTGTGATGGGGTTGGGGACAGGTAAGGGTGTGTACGGCGTAGTGTTTATACGTGAGTGCAGAAACGGTAGACTGAAGAAACGTGAGGGTAGAGAAATCCATTGCTTTAGACGTTGTGGGTTGTTGTACTACTTGATAGCTCGGACCAGAGTAGGCCTTGCTCGAAGGTGCACTCTGGCAGTTGCGCGACCAAGCGCGGATTGCAAGACAGCAGCAATATTCCAAATGAGCCGCGGACTGGCATTTGGTTCATTTGTCTCTTCTGGAAAATTTGTAGGACAACAGATTTCGACAAACGGCAATCGCCATATTGAGTGGTGGGCCACACTCACCACGTGATAGTACACTGTAAACAGAGATGTGTGATGTTTTGTGCGAAGAACCCTTGCTACCGCTGATCGCATGCGACCGCTTATTCCGTGGTGGGGAGGGGCTAAGCCCACCTTATGCACGGTATCCGCGAGATGACGGCCGTTTCCCTATCCGCGACCTGGGGAAGCGCTCCGTGGCGTACAGCTCTACTGGTGCTTAGTTTAACAGTAACTATGGTTCCAATGGCTCAGCACTACCGGAAACATTAACCGACATTACCTACTTAATGTCACGGTGAATGTTAATATCTGTCGTCATCTAAAATCGTTCAGTTGAACCAAGAACGATATACAAAAAATGGAGACGAACCTGTTTCCTTGAGATGAAGTGACTGTCTCGATGGCTGAGTTCCCTGAGTAGCCAACAACCGAAGTGCATGGCATTGTTTACCACGCTCCATCATTTCGTTGGCCGCACGCTCCAAATCGAGTAGCTGACGTGGAGCGATGGCTAAGGCCACCGGCTCGATATAGATCCGTACAAATTCACTTATAGGAGGAGATCTGTGGGGTAGTTCCATCGGTTGATCAGCAAGAGGATTCGGATGCTAGGTAATAGAAACAGACAACCATAATAATCTTAGTCCTATTCGAGAAGCAAAAGGGATGCAATTTTTCACCTGAAACGAATTAGATTTCCATGAAAACTGAATATACCTTCGACTTCATTGTAACAGCTCTAATGAAAATGATGAAATATGAATTATATACAAAAGAGTAAAATGGATAGAACAATATATCATCAACTGGTCCGTCACGAGTCATGCTGTTATTTACCCTCTTAATATCGCAGTGTTTTTGTTGCGTTTTGATAACAGATTCCGTGTAAACGGCATCTCACTTAACATAATGAAAGACAGAGTGACAAGAATACATGGATTTCCTTTCACTGCGAAACAAGGGCCAGATCCAGTCCATTTACTGGGAGATGTGTCACCAAATGGTGACGAGGACAGGCAACAGCAACGGGGGACGGTTTAGAATAAACCCGAATCGAGTCCGTGAAAACAATAATACACAGAATGTTTCGGTCTAACACAATGACTACGTGCATGTGTTCGACTTTTGTTAATATTCGCAAATTATCTGACGTGAATAGCCTATGACGAGATTTGTTTCCATAAGCAATCGACTACACTGATCAGTAGGAGAAGGGAATCCTATGATTACGATCATTTGATACTTAGTCACCGAGAGTGGTATCGCCAAACACAAATGAATAGAAGGGAATTATACAGTGGGTGAAGTTGAATTAAACCTATTCCTAATCGGGGTACTGGGTGACATACGTCCTATTAGTTCCCCTGGCTGGGTACCTCGGGATGATCGTAACCAATGGTTAGAGACACTGAGTGATAAGACTGTGTCGTAAACAGTGACGTTCGTGAATCTTCTCAAACTTTTTGCAACCCTAGACCACCGAAATTCTCCACTTTAAACCTTCCTGTCTTTCTCCTATTCTTCATCCAAATGGGCAGCCAAAAGACAGAAACCAAAACAGATGCACGAAGGTGCAAGGTTTATGGTTGTACAAACTGATACCTAACCAATATGCCGATACTTTATTCGTGTTGAAGTTTATCAACAGTGCTTATTTAATAAATCTACGGAAACTGAGTTTCGCACCTGGCTTCGTTGTCATAGGACGATCAATATTCAGGACTAATGAAGTTCANTAATGAAGTTCATCGTAAGTACAACTTTAACCGGATAGAGATCCGCACAACAAAGAACTTCGCCTTGCAAGACTGATCGTGTAAATCACAAAAAACTTCAATGTTAGAGATAAAGATAAACAAATCGCGGAGATTGAAATGTTTCATTGCGACTAGACGCAACTAATGAAGAACAGCTCATCAAGTATATGAAGCCGCATCAACCAGAACAAAGTGCATACACCATCGTTCCGCCTACGCTTTTGGTAGTTAGAGTACCACTTTCGGATAGAGATAGTTTGGATACCGACAGGTCAATTTCTATAGCCGTCAAATTTGAACGATCAAAACAACGGTGAGTCAGATTACACGTTTTAGTCCAAAGTGTTTACAGCACTGTACAGACTCAAACAGCACACATTAATTTTCAATGCATTTGTGCGTGGGCATGCGCGAAAGATGAGTCCAAGCATGCGCAAACTCGCTTAAGTGCATATAATCGAACCACAAACGTTTCAGGCACAATTCAGCCACATAGACGCCGTATACACTAAATCACCTTAACAATAATGAAGGTAAAGATGTACTGAAGTTCTGTTGTCTATCTTTAAGAGAAAGGTTTTGATACCGAAGTTTCGCAGACCTGGCAAATGAAGAGGAGATATAGAAGGTTGCCAAAACAGGCAAACTAAAGTGTAACAACCGGTACAGCAGTATGCACTACTACAATACTAAACCAGACAAATACAACGAATGATCTCTCTCAATTACTAAAAGTGAACGCATTCAATCTATTAACGCTGAGCGCAGTTTTGAAATCATAATTACGATTATTTGCATCCTCTTACACTTAGTAAACTTGAGTTTATGCATCGCTGAGATTCGATTCATCTGAAATACATGCCTCTGGTGGACACGATAACAGTCTATCGGTTACTGTTGCCAAACCGGAGAATAGTAGAGAAACTCGAATGAAATTTTTATGAGAATTGCCTGTATGCTAATTATTTTGATGAGGTTTAAGACCAATATTGGTGGCAATCACGCAACACAAAACGTTGCATTAAACGTTAAGAGGTAACCGAGGAGTTAAATCTATTTTGTGTGTGCAGCTGACAGGTAATTGTGTCACAAACGCCATCTAACTCAGTTAAAACGCGTGACTTCGTCCGAACTTAGTTATGTTACCTGAACCTCTGTTACGTACACAAAAGACCGTGACTGAAAAATTCCGGTAATATAAAACTTCAAAATCATTGAACATAGGGGGCACATGATCCGTCAGCCAATGAATTAACAATGTTGCCTAAAACCATGTAAATTCTTTTTATTGGTTTCATCAACCATTTCGTACGTAATGATATGCATACTGCCGAGAGCTGTTTTTAAATGAACAAACAACCTCATATAGCACTTACCTCCAAATGATACAATCTATGAACTGCCTCGCGTAGGGTCCGACTTAACTCACTGCCAAGAACAGTTAAATTGCCCATCACAGGTCGATTGGCAATAAGTCCATTGAACCAAGCCGGATAGCTGGCGCGTAATATCGGAATGGACAGGGAAAGATAAAAAACAAGAAAATAGAAATTTAAATACGACTTGTTAAGTCACTATATCAAAAGCTAACAAACAACCGTTACTGGAGCGCAGATGACAGCAATCATAAATGGTGTACGACGGTGTATGGTTAACGATTGTATGAACTTAACACCCCCAGGCCGTACATGCCCCGGGGACGAATTCTATCCATCCTGGTAAGACATTCAAAACACTGTCCCCTTTGTGAGCCCTCTGAAAGTGAAAATAAAATGGCAAAGCCGACTATAATATCAGTTGACATCTCGTTATTTCTACTGCAGTCTGTGTTGTGTCATCCACAGAGAGTAAGGAAGGACTATCGTTCGCAGGACTAAGCTTTCCTATCCGTTTGGGACGAATTCGCCAAATGTATAGTACAGAAAGAAAGAGAGAATCGCTGAACTAATGAAACCAGTGACTCACTTATCCAACACAAGCACACCGTCATTCTGTAGAGTAGATTTAAACGCGATCAATCGTTTACGTTTCACCTCATTTGCCTCGTCAAATTCCAGAGCATGCTCTTGGGGAATTCCTCTAGAATAGAGCAAAACAGGTGGTTTTCGTGCAAAGAGATTTATTAGAGAATGAAGGCACATGTAAAAAGCGAGGAAGCCAATTGGTAAGCTTAGCTTTATTGAAGGTCACAGACCAAGGGTAATATCCTCCCTCTTTGTCGAACTATGTAAAAAACAATCATATTGATAGATGGAGATACGGGAATAACTGGAACAACTCCTGATAAACTTCCGAGAAGTAACCACTTTAGATGAAACCCGAAATACGAGAGAGCCAAAAACGGACAGCCAAGAACACAAACACGTTACTATATCAACTAAATAGGAATGAAGAAAGTTTGAAAACAGCTTTTAAACATCGCAAGAGACCTATCAGATAGTTAAATGAAAATCTAGCTCTCACGGTACCCATCAGTAACGAGTGATAAGATGCACTGAATGTTCTGGGTATGTCAACTTCATCCATTGGCAGTATGACCCAATAGACGAGAAATCGAGAAATCACATGGAAGTTAGATCACTGAACGCCAAATGTGAAGAAATGAACCCCATTTCCAGCCTCGTTCGGCACGATGGGTCGAATTCTCGCACCACATTGAACGGGTGAATACTGGACTTCCCAATGGAAATGTTTTCTTAAGTGAAATTAAGCAGTGGAAGATACGATTCCAAGGGCCTATTGGATACAGAAATAAATACAGATATATCAAAGGAAATAAAAAGCTGAAAATATAGGAAGCCAAGCACAGTTGTGGCCACCTTACTGGTGGGTATCAACAGCTGTGTGAATTTACTGGCCTGACCGTGGATCGAGCTTCCAAGGCTAAGAGTAAACGTAAAAATCCTATCCGCTTGAATACTGGAAAGCGGATTATGATGTTTTCCTTAAATCTGTACAGGATATAAAAATCCACTTTTACATACGTAATTCCAGCAAACACTGTTCTCTTTAGTACTGATCAGTCTTACAAATGGGAAGTGCATCCCAGTTTCATTTCGCGAATACTTCATTTTTCATATAACACTTTCTGCTTTATGACCACAAACAGTACACCCGAATCGTTGCTCGTTGATCTTATTTTAGTCTAATTAACCATTAACTAACGGTCCAAAAGAATTTTTGTATTGGTGAAGTGCTATCACAAAGTCGGTGCCAAGAGTGTTTTGATTGCTCTAAAGCCGAAATAAAGTAACTGAATGAGAGGAACTTAAAACTATCGAGTGTGTTCGGAAAACAACCATAGGTTGCAGTAGACACTGATGCGAAAAACTGCCCTACAACGATTAATACCAATCATTTCAACTCACTCTAGTGAGGCCGGGTCACGTGTGAACGCGAATACTCGGGACCGTAAAGCCTCACGTTCCGCATCCGGACCCAAGCGTTTCTTCTCAGGCGGAACACGCGATCGAGCCGCATATTTTGCCATATTGTATTCTATCTCAGTGATTGACATACCTGGTTCATAAAACTTGGCCAATGTTTGATGAAAGCCATCGGGTAACGTGTTCAGCAGAGCTTGTTTCGGAGACCAACCATATCTGAAACACAGTGTACAAAGAAGAAACACAATATATCACCCAATATAAAACGCAATAAAATAGTTTTTACTACAGTTAGACAGTTAGAATCCCAGTCGATGGATCTCGAGTGAGGCAAAAAAAAGCTGACATGTTTGTTTGTTTTTTGCCAAATCGAGACAGTCGTGATACTGCCACGATCTGCGGTTGTTTACGAGAAGTCGTGTGTATGCTGTTTGGGCAGCTGTGTACGAATTCGGTGTGGCAAGTGAAGGTAAAATGCTACAATTGTTTCACTCATGCGTTCACGCGATTTCTCGGTCACTGCAGAACAGAATGACTGGCGCAAGTGTTACGGATCGAAGTAGTGTTAACCGATAAAGATAGTTTGGGAGAGAACCAAAAGTAGTTAGTTCATGAACTATCGGGAAGGCACAAATGCAATGACTAGTGGAGACAGACCTGCAAAGAGTGCTAATTCAGCAGACCTGTTCACTTGTTCGGGGATGAACTGATATGCCGGAGCCGTGGACAATGCTGTTCTTGCATTTGCTTACTTTTTGGGCTTTTGCAATACTCATTCCCGTAATTTAGCATACCGTAAATGGGTATAGTAATCGTTTGTTCATGGACGACAGTAATGTATTCGACAAAACCGTTGGCATTCTGCATTCCACGAAGGCGCGCATGCAAGCCAACGCAGGTGTTACACCTTTAAATTGCACTCGGTTAGGTACTCAGAAAATCAGCGTTCATTAAGCTGTTTAGGTGTGTACTTGTGTAAAGTTCTCCAGGAGAAGCACATAAAATTTTAGAAAACACGCCTCCAGTTCACCAATCAGCCGATTATTTTCATGAACCTCAAGGATAAATTGCCCACTTCTATATTTCCTATGATTACCTACTCATTTGTTTGTTTGTGCTCGACAACCTACATAGGTAGAACCATCAGGCAGTTTCTTCAGAGGATCTAGGAACACAAACTGGCAAGGTTGACTACTGGAGACAGAAAAACCATCTCAAGTGCAATTGTGGAACATTTCGCAAATACGGGACATACTGTGAGTGACGATGCCTTTAAGGTGATCTACCGGGTACCTCCTTTGATTACGAACCATGAGAGTATTTATTGATCGATCCGTGAAGTTCAATCAATTCAAGTATGTGAGCAGTAGATGATTTAGCACTGGAGATGTAACACAGTATGCGGTTTTGCAAGTCAGAGTTTTATCAAAATCCTAGATAAACAGATGTGTTGCGCAGGCTGGCTTGCGATAGCTGAGAGAATGCGGATGGAGGACAGTAGAATAAACACTTCGTCGTTTGGGATACCATTCACAAATCAACTACTTCGCAAGTGAGGCGTATGAAAGAAAATCAAGATAAGGAAACAATGATTTTCTGTCATACACATTCGTAAATGAAGGATGTCAGCAGAATGAACTGCTCTCTCAGACAATCTGGGATATAAGAATAGGGAAAAAGGTAAAACCGCAAAAGGATTAAGTAGTGTTGCGCAGGGTAACGTTTCCGTCTTTCATCCAAGTAAAAGTATAATCGCAGAATTCACCCTAAGGAGATGAAAACATTTGAAATGATGTTAGAATACAATGAGCAACGAAAAATAGCACAATAACGGCGACATACCGATTTCCCAAAAGAAGAATCAATAGATCAGCTTTAGATGCATACTCCAGACACATTTCTAGGGCCTGACTGCTTCTTGTGCTCGACTCTGGCACACCCCAGCGTAAATCGATGTCCAACACATGTACCCGCAGTTCTTGGGCTGCATACTGACGTAGGCTCGGTATGACGAGACCACAGATTAGATCACGTTCAGCGTGCATATCCCGGAACGTGGATGAGATAAAAATACGACAACAACGCCAACTGAAATGCGACAAGTACGAGGAATACTGTCAGAATAGCGAATCGAATTGACAATTACATATTTAGTATGTGAACGAAACAATATTAATGGAAAAATAATTCGACTTTTGACTGGTGCTACGATGAACCGGTCCCAATGGATTGCGATCTTCAAACAGCCCGCAGCCTTGTGGGTCAGGATTTAGCTACGGTTGTCCATCTTCCTAAAAAAAATCCTGCTTTGGTCTAAACAAACTGGCAGAAATCCGCCCATAAGCAAATCACGGACTGGTTCCTTTTTTAAAGATTATCGCACCATGATTTATTTGATGCACAGTCTGGACTCAGACATAGACACAAATCATATGCGACGTTGAGGAGTACCAACAGGGACTGAAGAGCTGACCAAACATTAATATAAGGACTATTATGACAGTATAAGAGTCGGTTTCCATTATCCTGACTAATGACATCCACAATTACTTGATATGACCGTGCTTCGTACAGCACATAAATGATCTCCTTGGATGAATCAGTGAAATATTCATTCAACCAACTTGAGCTGTTCGTTAGGATTGATGTAAAACAAGAAAAAATATATGAGGGGTCGATGACAGTGAAAGAGTGGATTATTCCGTTCACGACAATAACATCTTAATAAATGATTAGAACCATACTGTGATGTGATGGGCCGATCAACCTGGACGTCTATTGCATCTTCCTGATCTGGAACGGGCTTGTCGGGAAAGTGAACTTGGAAAGGTTTTGTAAGGCCAAACAGTTCATCGATTCGTTCCACGTGATCGACTAAACTTCGGTCACTTGCTTCAGCTAAATATCGCAGTACTTGGTCCGTGGGACCATTCATAATGACCCAATCTGACTTCTTCCCGAATTCGGGTGTCCTGTACAAAAATGAAAAGGAATAAAGAGCGTAATCATTAGTTGCATTATGTAAATTCCGAAAAGCATAAAGAGAAACTTGACTGTTCATAACAAAAAGCGAGAAAAATTGACAGACTTACGAAGCGCAATTAGGTGCTGCCGCTAAGGATTGTTTTCATGTTTGCACAGCAAAAAGTACTTATTTGTCCATCGCAAAGTACGTAAGTGAAAAATACTGCTAGAGTTACGTTATTCTACACGACCTTACTATTGAGTACTTCGGTTCTGGACAGTGGCTTCTTTAGAATGAAACTGAGAAATGGGGACACTGAAAGTGCCGAAAGGAACCCTTGCAAAAGGCAGTCGAAAATTACAGTCAACATATCCGACGGATTCTGGGGTCTCCTAACAGAAAACGCAATCCGAAATACCTGGCTCGATTTAGTATTTGAGGATTTTCAATTCTCACGCACCTTAACGAAGCGGTTACCTTTAACTGATTCCAATTGCTTCAAGATTGTTGAGGCACAATCGTTCCAAAGACGTATCAGACGCGGCATGACCAGAAGTCTGCGATGAGTGAACATGTTGCTTAGCGCTCGATCATTATTACCTATTTATTTAAACCTCAGCTCAGCATAACACTTTCCACCGTCTAAACATAAACCAAAAATGCTTCGATGAAAGTCGTGCACGAAAAATTTATTTGCTCCTCTATTCAGATAACGAAAAACAACTGCTAACAAACAAGCGGATTTCACAACTGACACACTGGCGAATTTTAGGAAAACATCCTATGTATGTGATGTTAGTCCACCAGGTGATGATTAGCTGTTTGGATAATGGAACTTATGGGTTTAGTTGGCTGCTTCTTACCTTGTTTGTAGGTTAAAAGTTGACTTAATTCAGCGCCCCACAATTTGCCTGCACAGATGTGCGCAAACTGATTTATCCGCATCAATACATGCATTTTTTCTTCCACTTTCCACTGAAAGACAACTTAATCCCTATACACAAAACCTAGATATGAACCTCGGGGATGGCAAGAAAAAAGTGGGCATGCGTCACAAACACGTGAAGCACGCTAGGTAAATGTACGTAAGCCAAACCTAGACTCCTTGATCTGCCACAAAATAATAGAAGGACGGCGATTCCAGTCGATTCTTCACTATATTCTATAGTTCTTAATTGATCATGAAGTTACCCCTTATTTCAACTGTCCCGAAACAATACATATTTCCTCAGCAGCTTTCTAGGGGACATACTTAAAAAAGACAACTTGATCTGAAATTGATTGCACTCATAACAAGTGTACTCCCATTACGCGATGTATCCGATGCCTGGTGACCTCCTGTACAGTACATTGCTCTAACGACCGATCTAATGGACAGAGAGCTGATCCGACAAGTGCATATCAGTGAAATCGCTGTATAAATTATTCCTGCTAGGCTAGGTAACATATTTTTCTATCCCGACCCATAACCCAGTTGTCCGTGAGTTAGTCAATAAATGTACGTTTACGACTACCCTTCGAATGAGTAAGCGACGGTCATGTTCACTTGCTTAAGTTTTGCTTCTCAAAACATCAAATGGAATAAACATAGAGTTGAACCAAACTATCCAATTATTTTTATCCAGGAGGAAATAGTTGACAGGAAACTCTACTCCTCAGAACAAACACATCTTTTACCAACGTACCAGAAATTCGTCCCTGACAAATTGCTCCAAACAGCATTAACCGGAGCGACTTGAATACGTTGAAAAGCAACAAATTCTGCCACTGCCTGACACATATCGCCAATCACATAAACCGTGTCAAACTGAAAAGTGAACCAAGAAAAATTTGGTGAAACAAAAGAGATAAATAAGTAAAGCGTTTTGAATGATAGGAGGAAGGCACAATAATCAAGAACAGTTTTCACCTGCAAAAACCAGTGATCTGGTATGTCTAACGAACACAAAATATGAGAAAATCATTTGCACCTTTTGGCTTCATTTTAAAGTTGCTTATTTTCCTCAAGATATCGCTGACTGTGGCCGGTTGTCAGGATGGAGTTTAGAATAAAGGTTGCTGCACACAACTCGCGTGCAATAGCAAACCGAAGTGAATCCACATCGTATTGCTCATTTGCAATAGCCATTAATGAACCTAAGTTTGTCTATTAAAAGTAAAAAACGGATATCTTAAAGTAATGACGTTGAATCGATTAAATGAGTCGAACGGCGAAAAATGACTGTAATTCCGACGTGGTTTATGCGAGTTTAATATTTTGGTATATTTTTTTAGTACGCACTTTCGCGTGATGAACAGTATATCAGGGAAGCCCCATAGTCACAAAGACCAGCTGCTCCATCATTAAAACCGGTAACCCAAGCCCCCGGGACTTGGAGTGGCGATCCACATTAGGCCCCGATAGGTTAGGTATGGTGTTGGACCGGACGACAGCAAACCTGCCTACCACCAAAGTTGGGTGGCAGTGGCGTGCGTACATATGACTATATCCATAATGTCATGATCCATCTCAAATGAAATACAACAAAAAATGAATACAATATTTGACGTATCACAGTATATCATCAGTGACACTTATTTGATCGCTTATCTATCGGATCCCGTTTGCAAAAACAGCGAAAATCTATGTCTGATCGTACAATCCACGTGTAATCCTGTAGGGTTTCGGTCCTGTAAAGTAGGTTCGCCTAAGCGATTAACCAGGTTCTAACTGGTTACTTCATAGCGAAAAATGTTGATCAAACTCGTGCAACATCATTCTCATTTTGGAAATGCATTTCAGTCTCCAATATCATACTTGTGTATTGATGACTAAGGGTAGGCCGAATTTGTTGATGATTTTATCTCCCACTTCTATGTTCTTACGTCTTTTCTGTCACCGTTTGACTTTGCGTGACCTTGAGCGATACGATAAAATTTGCAGGAGTTAAAAGGTTACGGCTGAGATTTCCTAAATATTTTAAGCAAAGCAGCATGTGAATGCACCCTTTTCAATAAATGATTGCTGTTCAATGAGAACGTTTAACAAGTTCACCAAATGTATTCTGAATTGCTTATCTTTTCATTCAGTGCACAGCAAACAAGCAAATCAATGAAAATATCTTAGCTTAAATAAATTGATAAATTACTTGGCTATACTCAGACAACATCCACAATACGAAAAGAACCGAAAACACAGTCCAAGAAACATTGAAGTTGATCCTCAAAAGTGGACCTTGAGATGTGCGGCTCGTTGAATAAGCGTCTTGTAGTGTTTCCATACCAAAACCTGATAAAACATTCAAAAGGTTTTGGCATATGATCGAGGGGCACATAAATTCGATGTTCCTGTTAGTGTCTAGTGGAAGTGCTTCGTTATGAAAACATACGTCAAATTTGTTGCACACTCAACGAAATATCTCCATTAAGACTTAAACCAAGAGGACCCCGATCACAGCGAAGCAAGACGATGGTTGTATTCGATCGCAGCAGCGAAGAGTTGCAGAAAACCAATCGGAAGGATAGTCCGGGCCGATTAGCCGTTTCATCCTCACGCTTTCATTTGGAAAATGATGGCCCAATTTAAAGTGCAGCTGAGGCCGCGTGATATAAAACCGTTATCGAATGTCCAACAAAGCAGAGCACGGTTTGATTTTACCAACAAATTCAAATCGCGTCGCCTGTCCAATGGGCAATGAATGGGTTTATGTTACTGTTGGTCAACGAGTAATTCAGCATATGGTGAAAGCTTATCGACTGAGCTAGTTTACTAATGAATTTTGTTTTACCTGTCAAAAGAAATAAATATTCACCCTGCCTGACGAGTTAGGACGGAATTAAATACTGAGTGCCTTGTTACTGTTCTCCTGCACACACCAAAATGTTTAGCACTGATCAGGGAGGTTTTCGGTAACCGTCACTCTCAAAATGCATTCGCGAATATCATATTTTTCACCGATGAAGGTTGGTTCATTTTCTCACTTGAAGCTGTTGGTAAAAAACGGCTAAACCAAATCAAATTATTTTTTCATATTTATGCAGTCTCTGGAGGAGTCAAGATCAACGTCAAATTCATCCAATTACCGCGAAGCAGCTGGGACTTTAATTTAATCGAAAACTTTCCCCTGTACCAGGAACAAGGGCTAAGTCGGTTGCCTCAACATTGGTTGTGAGTGGTTAAGGTATGTATTAAAGGAAACTGACAAAATCTGTTTGGCAGTCAAGTTGTTGGATTCCGTGCTAAAGCGACTACCTCCAGTGCTCAAAAATGAAGAAGGGCAAATGGAACATGGACGAGATGAAAGTGCAATACATGTATAAATGCTATGAATCATTTCGATGCATAAACTCTAGTTAAGTTTTCTACTGTGACTTTGTTATTTTACAACTGATGTACAAGTGACCATGGTCAAAATCACGAAAATGTATATTTCAATGGCATGGAGCTAATCGAAGCAAAGACGTAAGTGGGTATTATATCAGATATGCTGTGTCTGATGTATGGCAGAATCATATTCAATCCCGGGAATGAGGCTGGAAAAACGAAGCATCAAGAGGAAAAAATGTGATGAAAATCAGGATGTTGCACGAGTGTGGTAAATACCTGTAAATATAGTATATACATTGTAATTCACGGACTGATCACCGTTAACCGTCTTTGAAGTAATGCAGTGAATCGAGATTGCCACTCTCGATTACTTTTATCATATCAGGGTATCAGTGGCACAGTTACAATTATCACGAGGTTTACACCTTTACATCTACTAATAAGAAAAATGCACCATCGGCTCGACGCACTTGTGTAGAATAGTGGTATTGCTATGAAGAAAATAGATTCATTTCCGTACCGCTTGGTATGACTGGTCGGAACGTTAAAACATTTCACTATAACACAAGTCTTTGGAGTCAAACACCACTATGACTAACGAAATTCCAGCGATAAGAAAAAGATAGATAACATGGTAATAAAACAAGATTAGAAATGATAAAAACTCACGTGATAGTCGATTGCCTTAAAGTCATCCAAACACTTCTTCAAACTCAAGGGTTCAAGCGACTGAAAATAAAATAAATGAGTAAAGGATGAGAAACCACAGGCAGGTAATGACGCATTGACATCGCGCAAACATTTGCTGATTAGGCGATTCGTTGTTCCCTTCTTTCCTGTATTTCATCGACAAACAAAAAGTTGCCGATCTAGAAACAGATAAAAGACGAAAATATGCACATAAAGCAAACTGAACGTTTAGTGAACCGCCAAATAGAGTAATAAACAAAAATCCAAATTTGATGAATCTAACGTGGGTGATAGCCTGTAGAATCACATTCTAAAACAGCTTGTTCAACGTATTGGATATTATTAGTGACGGCTGATCAGTAGAGTAGAGGAAATTTAAAGTCTTACAATGTATCTCCGTGAGTCAGTAATCTTGATTGGGTGGAAAGGTGTCTCTTTCAGGTACAGTTTTCTCATTCACATCGTGGGGTTTACCGATTCTACCGGTTATATGTTACACTATTGATGAAGGGATTTTCACAATAAGTACCCGGAGGAAAACTTCTGTAAATATCCATAAATGCAACCAACTTTGAGCAAATTATTCCGTCTGTCTAATTTGTGCTCGAGTACATTAGAGTACTGAAAAATAACTAACCAGTCACGTGGAATAGTATCTACTGTTTAATGAGTGTATTGACGGAATGCTGTACTGAGGTGTTCCGACGGTTATATTTGGTAAACGGGCCAGGCATCACCACTGACCTGCATTACCGAGTTAGTTCAAAACTGTGCAACCAAAATCTTTTAGCCCGTTCGATATATAAATTGGTTTTGAATAGATTACACTCAGGTGATTGAGCGGAAATACTGCAGGGCATCAAAAAACATCAACTACGAAAACATGGCGCTATATGGTCAGATGGTCATGAAAGCAAAAGAAAGACAATTCAGTCATATTGATTTTTCACTAAAGTTCGATCTATACATATAAGCATTTTTCGTCTATTCCGGGGCAGATAAACTAGATATAAAACCACGATGGACCTTCATCAAAACCAGCATTTGCATCTATTTTCACACCTACGATGGAATTGCACAGGGTTTTAGACGTTGAAAATCGAAGTATCACCATGATGTGCATAGATCTATTGCGATTGGTTAGCTTCGGAACCTCGTATGCATCCTACCGTTCTAGCTTGTGCCCAGTTTGTTCTAAACATCGTCAAACCAAATACATTGACAAACAAAGTACAGCCTTACAGGCGTATTGTGAAGCAAAATCAAGCATAATCAATAATACACTAGATCAATATCACAGATACAGGAACGCATTGTGCATTGTATGTCCTATACTTGTTGATGACATTTATGTTCGACTTAACTCGAAGTAGGCTGCCCAAAAGCAGGTAAAACGAAAACAAAAAGTACACCTTTGAGAACGAAAAATAAACCTCCGGAAATGGTACCTTGAAACACCCGAGCAGCGATTTCGCCTCATCGAGAATATTTTGTTGTTTTTGTCGAGACCTGGTGAGACCAGAAACCGCATAGCATCGATCATCATCGTTCAACAAGGCGTATGTTGTACTGCTCTGGCAAATCCGTGCACACATGACAGCCAGAAGCGTTCCGATCGCACGCAACTAAACAGGATACACAATGAAAGATGAACACAGGAGGCAATGATAAGTGATCTTGAAAAAGGCGAACTGCACTGATAGCCGGAAGTTGTGAAAATAAACTCATACCGACTCGAGTGAGACGTAAGTAGTCTAGATCTGGATGTCTTCAGATAGCGGTAAATAGATTTGAAACAAGATAATCCAAAACTGCCACGCCTAGTGGCACCGTATGTGGTTCATCACTCCAAGAATCGAGACTTGGGTGACCGGTTTCCATCAGTGAACAGCAGATCTTCGCGATTACGGAGTCCAATTCACCTGCTGTTCATCACACAAATGTGTGTCCAATAAAAAAGCCTGCACGATTATCACACTCCTAGATCCTAGAGTGCTCTTCGACTCTTCTGTTCTCCCTGTGCTGAAGAACTACAAGATTGGTAGGAACTAATGCACGAACTTTCAATTCAAAGAATCGCCTTATGCACCGCGAAGAGTGGATATTCTGCAAAACTTTCGTAGGTTAATGGCAGCCTGGAAGCGATCGAAAGCTTTATCTACCTACGGACTTACATACCGTCTGGCAGTGTGGATTAGGAGCTCTCCCAGTAAGTAAATGAAGCAAGATCGGCTATCGTTAATACGTAACATCACTAGTGCCCGCGCAACATTATACTTTCGCTACAGGAACTTGCGCATAGCGTAACCGTAGGTTCTGTATCACTCCACGGCAGCTAAGCTAGGCATCGCGGGGCAGGTCATGACTACAGACTGAATGTTTAGGACAACTGTTGTCTGCACAGCATTACTCGCACTTCGTAGGAGCATCGCTCGAGTAACAATGAGGTAGACGATGTGCATTGCAGGCAGCCCTTCGTTAAGCAATAGGATTTCACTGCACCGTCTGAGGTGGCTGCGACAAGTCCTACGAATGTGTGAACAATGAGTACCCTATGATACCTCGTATAAAAGAATTGAATCGAACTGGAAGTTCGGTTTTAGTTTATACAACCATTAACCTCTATCGTCGCGAAGTTTTGGTTGATATAATTTGGTTAAACATTTCAGTCAAGAAGTGGAGAGAAGATTGTAATGAGAGAAGAAAGTTGAATGTGAAAATAGAGAATTCAAGTGGACTAATTGAGACATTGAGTAGATGCAAGAGCGTCACTGTTTATGATTACCAACCATATCACTCGATGTCTATTTGAAATCGAATTCTATTTGATGATATGCGTACCACACGCTAATACCAGTTACGGAGGTAGAATATTCGATCCAACAAACTCAAAGCGCAAAGCGACTTAAACAGCGGTGTTCTAACACCGAATGTTTATTTTTAGTCTGTCTTCGTAACGGTCAAGTCTCTGCACCGTAGAGCAGTTACTGCGAACCTGCCGTAGCATTCAAATCTTCACATATACACGGAAGTCACGACGGCAAAATAGATACCCTAGTTGGCAAATATAAATCGAGCGTTTCGTATGCGTAAAGACACTTTATCAATGGCCGTCCTCCGTCAAAGGAGATGTAGCTGCCCCAAAAGAAAAATTGGTTTAACTCTATTACTTTTCTCTGCAGGTTTAGGTTGGGAGCTGCACCAACGCAGTCCTGTAGCAAAACCTTGAAAATGCGAACCGCATGGCGAACATAGTTGTACTAGCCATTTGGAAAAGGAAAAGCCAAGGAAAAGCGCATACGATAGTCGACCAAATAGAAGGCGGCTTTTAGATCGAGGAAGATGGAATGGTGTGTGTGTGCGTGTATGAAAAGATTCTGGAATTCGATGAAGAGTGAGAATACGGTCGATGCAGCCTCAACCAGGTCTAAAACCAACCGGGTTCTCCGGCGAGTACCGCTCAAGTGCGGCAGACAATCAAAGAAACATCGAGATAGGCAAGCTATGGCGTGATGCAGATGGTTGAAAAAATGTTCCGATCAATCGGGGACATCCCGCCTTATATACTTGGATATAAAGATTCAGACTGCCGTTAATCAATGGCACTGAACCGAATACAGTGGCTTNCGTTTTCAAGTTTGCAGTGCAATCCTTATTAGACATGAAACTCAAAACTACCTTTTTTCCGACTCCCCCGGAACCGATCGCTTATTGTATTTTTTATTGTTCGTATATCGACAAAATCAATGTTTTACATCCTTTTTTTCTCATGGATTTTACAACTATACCGCAAATGTTCAGAAGGGAGGATGCGATCAATTCACGGCTGTCGGAGAGAGTAAGGCGGTGATGACCACATTCAAACCCGTTGCCTTCATGACGTTTCTTGATAACCAGGTCAGTTCAGTTCAGTTCTTACAACCGTTAACCATGCACTTTCGTGCGCCGATTTTGGTTGCCTATTTGGATAAAAGAGCAGAATGAAGATTAGCATATTGGGAGGAAATTCAAGCGAAAGACACCGAAATCATATAAACTGAAGTTACAGGAAAAATGAGTAGATGCATGAGCGCCACTGTTTGCGACACACAGGCATATCGCTAAGTGTCACTAACCATCGGTGGCCATCATCTCGGGGTCCACAGTCAGGGAGTCTAACGGGGCCTATGTGGCTGAGTCTCCTGGTTAGATTTTTCATACCCTCATGCCAGGTCTTAGTTTGATTTTTTCCAGCCGCTAACTGCCTCGGCTAACATTGCTCGCCGTGACAACCTATCTGGTGACACGCGTAGCACATATCCCAGCCGGTGTGATCTAAGACGATCGACTACTTGCTCCATTGGACGACCGTGATTACCTAAAACTCTACGCATAACTTCAGTATAGCTCGTCCGGCTGCCCCACCAGACTCGCACAATGCTACGTAGACGGCGGTTTTCAAACACCGATTATATATTTTTATTCTGTTCCTCGTAATTGCCTCTGAGTGGTTGGCCTCATTAGTTGAACACTGAATGATATACCATGGGTGGCGCAAACAGAATGCATCTCTAAAGGTTTGGGAGTGAGAAAAGCATGTGGACTGTTGAGAAAGATGGTTTTCCAAATGAGCGCTGCATTCTTCGCGGTTTCCCACTCCGTCGATGGGGTTTTTCTTTGGGAATCCTAACTGGAGCCTTCGACTCAAAAGCCTGACCCACAAGCCCGTGAGGCGTAGATCCAACGCGAGAGTGTGACCGAAGCACTCGTGTAGGAGCCTATAGAGACTTGTCACGCAAGACCTTTGAATTTCGGTTAAGTTTGTTGTTCGCTGGTGCCTTGATTGTCGGTCCGCTTTTCGGGATCGGCCCTTAGCCTCATGCACCCAATGAGACAAGCGGAACGTGGACGGGACAGCACCTTATTGGCTGGGGGCTGCTCAGCTTGGGCGGGCGGTAGCTGTCCAATGAAGTGCGAAGACTTTTCCCACCGTTGGGAGGAAGCCCCAGGTACCCCACTCCTACGTCCACCCAGTGGGGTTTTTTTGACGGGTAAACTGCCCCTCACCGTGTTCATTGGTCGGAGTGAGCTCTCCAGGGGATAGAAAAGGAAGCCAGGAGGTGCCCAAGCAGCGGTGTTCAAATACCGACAGTCTATCCCTATCCTGTTTTTTAATGACCAAGTTTCCGTAAAGCAGAACTGGTGGAACTGCCGCGGCATATACTGGTGCTTTCACAGAAAGCCGGATGGCATGACGGCGCAACAGATGTCTCAAGTTGGCAAATGACAACCAAGCCTTCTGTATGCGAGCTGACACTTTTTGTGATGCGTCCACTGGGTGAGATGTAGCTGTACAAATAACAAAACCTGTTCACTTGCTCTACATATTACCCCAGATAGGGTGAGTCCGGGTGCTGGCCCAACCCAGTCTTGTAGCAACATTTTACAATTTGAAGGTGCAAAACGCATAGTACATATAACGTTCAGAATAAAAAATAGGACAAACAGACTCATTTTTATCAGATATTTTGACTTTAGTATACCACAGCCTCAGTAAACGATGGATAAACATTCGACAGAAATATCCGCCAATCGGATTCACTGACAAAGGAGACTTTGTTAAAGAGATCAAAGGGTTTCATCAAATGGCATTCGACAATTTCCATCGTCAATGGTCGAAGTTATAGTTTAATCGCTCCATCACAGTGATAAAGAGAAAAAGCAGCTAATTCCACTGCACCGGCTTGATATCTCTTAGTAAAACGCAGTATTCTAAACAAGACTGAATATTAATTAGGTGCAAAAAAGAAAAGGGAAAACAGTGGGGAGCTGCCCGTTGACTCACATCTTTTCCCAAACCCGCGGCTTTCAATTGTTTTGTCAACTTTTTTTGGCGTCCGTCACCTTGGAAACAACAAACAATGAGTGTATTGCCCTGAATCGGTGGTAGGTTGTTGCGTACAGCTATACTGATTGCTTTTCCGATAGCTTCCCGATAGGTATCCAGGGTGAATTTCGAGTAACACAACGGCCTATGGAAAATGAATAGAGAAGGGACGCGTCCTAATGAGCTACTCTTGTCCTCAAGCTAGCGCAGAATAAAGCTTACTGAAATCTAATAATTACTATGGCTGAGAAACAACATGAAGTGGTACACATGCTGCCATTTACATACCCAGAGCTACCGAAGAAGGAAAAGACAAAAAGCCGTGACCAGTAAGCAAAAGATACTTATGTTTCAACATTACACAGTCATCCTACAATGCTCAGTATCTCAAAATGCAGAGAACAAAACCAGTTGCATTTAAAGGTGAGAAAACAGAGACATAGCCCACAAAGTTTTATACCCTAAGGAGTAATCCAGCCCAAAATAAGCACACATATCGAGCAAAACGAATTTGGTATCTCGAATCAAACATTTGAAGGCAATATTAGTGACGAAGCTGGGAATGTGTTCCTAACAATTTATTCAATCTTGTTTGTACGAACCGATGACAGAGCTACTTACGGTGAAAACGTGTCGCGCAGCAAAAATAGCCACACGGAACCTGTTACCTTCAGCGAAAAATCATATCGATTTTAAGAACGTTACAA